ACATATATAAAAAGTTCTAAAAAAAGTTTAAATTTTACTTTAATTAGAGTTTAAAATTTAACAATAAAGTAATTTAAAATTGACCAAAACAATAAAAAAAAAAAAAAAAATTTAAGTGCCCTGTTAAATTTAAGTCCCCCCATTTATTAAATAATTTGTTTTTAACTAGAACCCCTTTTTTTGTATCACGTAATTAACTTTTGTTTATTTTGTATATTTTTTTGTATAGTTTATTTTGTATGCAGAAATCATATTCTAAATTATTTAAGAACTCTTCAAGTATTTTTTTGCAAGTGCGGAAATTTATTTTTAAAATTTACTTTAAATTTTTTTTGCACACAGAAACTAATGCAATGTTATTTGATGCAACGGCCAATAAGTATTGGTCATCATTGTTATTGGATTAAAATGAGTATTGGTCATCATTGTTATTGGTTTAAAATGAGTAGGCAAGTAATAAACCGATAGTTTTTAGATGTTTTTTTTTTTTAAACTGTTGTCGGAAGTTGACATTTCAAAATTGACTAATGTTTCTTGAGCCTCATTTCAATTTATTTTAGGACAATCATGAAAAGACTAAATTTTTGAGAAAAGAAGCTGGAAGTAGAAAAAGGAAAAGATTTAAAGATAAATATAAAGGAAAACCTATCATTCGCTCCATAAAGGCAAATGTCAATCGCATAGAGATCTTGATAAAAACTTAAATGCAGCTTTAGTAAAGTATTTAAATCTCAAGAATCTAAAGCCAAAATAAAAGGAAACTCTGAAGCGATCTTTTGATGGAGAAATCAAAGCCATTTCTCGGCTTAAATTGCAATTAATAATTTTCATTAGTCTGCTGTCCTATAAAAAAATGATTACCACCCCACCTCACTACGCCACTGGATATAAGTATTTTTTACCCTTCAAACAACTTTCTAGTAGTTTAACATAAGTAGAAACAATTAAAAACGAATTAAAAACCGTTATTTCCATACTTAATTGGCAGTTGTTAGTTTTTTATATGGGCTAATCTTTTGAACGCTAAATATATCTTGATGAAAACTGAAATCTGTTTAAAAATTTTGATCTAATTTGTAGCAGCAATTTTATAATAAAAATTTGCTTTGATGTAAAAAAAGGTTGACAAGGAAAGTAGGTAAATATTTTAAAATATATTCAGAGCGAAGCTAAACTCCGACTAATTTCAACAAACTATACTATTTAAAACCAAATAGGTAATATTAAAGCATAAGGTTGTAATTAGTTGCAATTTTTTTTTTTTAAATAAGCTTCTTAAAATTAATTTGTTTCAAAATAGAGCGAATTAGAGAAATTTCTTTGGTTTCTTATAAATTTGTACAAACTTTAATAATTGGCTCTATCAAAGTCGAAATTTTAAAGCTCTAGCTTTATAACCTTTTTTTTAAATAATAATAGAGAGGTCAAATGTGTTGCAACTAACCTAGGTATCTTTTATCGCCATTGAAAGGTAAAATAGATTTTATTTTTAAAAATAGAACCAATACTTTTATTATGAATTAACTCTCTCTCTAACAAGGAAACTTTTTTTTAGTTAGTCTTGCAAAATTAAAACTTTGTTTTATCATACATTAAATTTATTGAATCGCTTTTTATTAAATTACTTTTAAATTTAATAATCTAGAATTAAATTAAAAACTGATGTTGTTAACAATTTAACTTTTCTTAAGAGTTAACAAAAAAATTAAAGATATTTGCAACAGTAACAATAACAAAATAATTATATTTAAAAATAAAATTTAAAACTTCAATTATTCTAAAGTCCTAAAATAAACATCATGCTAAAAATTGTTTTGTAAAATTGTATTTAGATATGCCTCTTTAAAATGCTCTATGTAAATGAAATAATAAACTTTTTTTAGAAGATAAGATAACCATAACGTGATCAAATTTACGTTAAAAGAATATAAACCTTTCAGGTAACTCAACGTAATGGTTTACCTTTTATTGTTGTTTTTATAAAAGAGCAATAAGTTTTACCTTAAAATTAGGCAAAATGTTTTAATTTTTAAATCTTCCGTTAAAAAGTTAAGGTTGTTTACTTTCTAAAAGTTAACAAAAGTTATCCCCTGGCTAAAGGTTTACGATAGCTTAACTTTCGTGTTTTGATTGTGTCAAAAGTCTATTATTACTAAATCAGTATTTTTATTCAAATTTTAAACTTGACGGCTTTTTTGTTTTTATTATTTTTTACTTTTATAAATCACCCGCTGTATATAATACAAGGTAAATTATTATAAAGTTACATTTTTGAAAAGAAATAAGTTTATCTTCGAATAATTACTTCAAGTATATCTTTGAAAATTTTTCCTTTGCCTCAACGAGTTCCAGAGCTCAATTGCAAAGCTTAACCTTTGAAGATCTTTTTTAGGAATTGTATATTTCACAATAATTTTTACTTTTTGTTTTGTTTTGCATTTCTCTAAGCTGTAATTACATGTATAAAGTGTGATACCATTCGCAAAAGTGCAAAGTTCAGTACTTTAATAAATAATAACAGATTGCTTATAAAGATAATTAAAAAACTAAAACCCACTCAAAATTGTTTTAAGTCATACTCAATACTCTTTGATGCATCTCACAAAAAAAAAAAAAAAAAGTTGTATGATAAAAAAAAGATTGAAAAAAGTTTTGTAAATTTTACAATGAGCCAGAAAAATTTCATTGAAAAATATTGCTGAGTGAATCTTAGTCAGAGAAATATTAAGGCGTTTTAACTCAAATCAATATCATATATTAATTGACATTATTTTCACTATGTGCACCTTACACTCTCAACTTGATTGGTTAGTTTGTTTGAGGCTAATTTCTAACCTTTTACGATAAAGCTGAATGGCTTTATTTGAAAGTTTTTACTTTTTTTTACCAATTTGACATCAAGGTGGTACAATCTGATGAAAAACCTAAAATATTGTTAAAAGGTTAATATGAATGGACATTAAAAAAAAAATACTGTTGTTTTAATTTTATATTTAAGTTGCGTTCTGGTTTACGTTCTGAAAGACATGAACACAAACGCAAATTTCAACTATGAAACTGCAAAAAGTCAAATAGTACAATTTTAAATTTCTTTGTTTAAAATTCTTACAAAGAGAATTGAACAATGAAAGTTAAATGTATTAATTAATATAATCTTAAAAAAGATAAACAAGTTTACTTTATCAATCCAGTATCTTAAATACACAAGAGTAAAAAGAAAGACTAAATTAACCAAATGTACAAGAGAAATAATTGATAGTGATACTTTCTAACCAAAGGAAAGTTAACACGGATCATATTTAATGAGATGGAGTTTTTATCTTAACGGCTATTGTGATAAAAACTCCATCTCATGAAACATCATTCGTTTAACTTTCCATTTTTGTTTGGTATAATATAAGAGACTGGGGAGAAGTAGGACAGTCTGAAGTTTTTAATTAGAAGTGGTTCCTTAATACTGATATCTAATGTAAACAATTAAATTTCCTCCCCTCTATTTAGCAGAAATTGCTTTGTTTCCCTGCGTGCGCTAAAAGCCCTAATTTTGAAATGTACCTTAAAAAAGTGTTTACATTTGCGTGAAAAGGGGCATATATATATATATATATATATATATATATATATATATATATATATATATATATATATATATATATATATATATATATATATATATATATATATATATATATATATATATATATATATATGTCCCGCTTTTTCCCGTCGCCATTTGATGGTTTCAATTGATGAGAGCTTTTGAACAGTTTAATGTCAGTGATTTTATGATTTTATAGTTTCTATTTAATAATTTGTGTTAAAATGTTGTTTTTAAGTTTATTTGTCCCACTTCTACTCACACTTTTCCCACTTTACCCCATGAGCACGGTTTCTCTAAAAGCAAAAATTTATACACTTAGTTATAATTGGCTTAAAACGTAAGGGGATTGAATCGGTGCCTAAAAAAAAGATTTATTTGTAAAAACTCGATTGGTTCAATTTATAAATCGAATAAAAAAGATATTACAATTAGCCTAAAAAAAATTTACGTGTCCCACTTCTCCCCACTCTCCCCTACTGATAAAAAACGGGATTATGCGGTATAATAAAATTTAATAAATTACGGGATTGAGTATTTTCTCTGTACAGAGCAAGGCTAAGTCATAAAACTCAATTCTGTATTTTATAGCATTTTAACACAAATGTAATGAAGAGTTTCTGAAACTCTGAGTGAGTGAAATGTAATGAAGAGTGGTTTACCACCTTATAACCTAAATGTAATCTGATCAGATTTTAATACTTTTGAACAGCACGAGGTTGAAAGTTTTAAGTTTCAAAATATTAGATGGCAAGTTCGAAAAGAGTTCGGAAAGAGTTCTATTGAGATTTTACAACTCAAGCTCTTCCACTCATTTACTGACACTCATTAAAATTTAACTTATAATCTTCTTAACATTTTTAATCACCGTTTTAACATGTGAAAAAGCTTTCACAACAGTTAAATTTATAAAAGATTTTTAACGATTATTAGACAATTGTCTCATTTTTACTAAATAGTAAAAAATAAAATACAAATGATGGCGATAAACTTAACGTTGTTCTCAAAATGTTTAAATCTGACACACGCAGCATACTTTTGTTTAGCTGGACCTATTAGGGTGTATACGAGGTTTCAAAATATAAATAATCTAAATGTTGAATTTTGAAACGATTAAGCTCATATCCTAAGAAAATGAAAAAAATAAAATTTAAAATAAAACACGACACAATAAAATTAAAAAAAAAAAAAAAAAAATTATATCAAATTAATTTAAAAAGGAAAATATTGAACCACCACTTGTTCCTTGCTCAACCCTCAAGAAGACTGCAAAAAAAATATAGAGTCGTTTAATTGAGATTTTTTCAAGCATGAAAAGCAAACTTAAACACGTTCCGATAAATTAATTAACTCGCTTGAGCAAGTTTGCATTGACTTGACTGGTAACAATTTACACCAGGAGGTGAATTCAGCGCGAAACTAACGTAATTTGTTTAATTTGAAATAATTTTTTAATCTTATAATGTATTAATTTTTTAAGGGATATAATTCACGTGTGCTCATTTTTAGGGACCTCATTTAGGGTAAGTGGAACATTTCACATTTTTGTTAATAAGATTTCATAACGCATGAATACTTCGTTGCGCTGTTTCTTAACTTTGTTTTGATTTTTTAACAACGTTGAACGCACTTTTTGTTTATTAACATCAAAGTTGTTTATACTTTGCTTTTACCGTTTATTTCATATTAATCCTATTTTAAGTAAACAACTTTTATTCGTTACTTTAATACACTGCCAAAAATAAAGCAATAAAATTTTGTTTAATTACTATTGCAAATATTTCAATACACTTTTAAACATAATGCGCAACATATTTAATGGCAAAACCTAATATTTGGTAATAAGATGGTAACAGTCTTTTATTAAACTCTTCAAGTTTTCATTCAACTAATCTCACAAATCATTTAACAAGTCCTTTTTAAAATTATCTACTAAAGTTTACACGCCAATACTCCTTGTTGTTTTATTACTTCCGAATCTCGACCGTAATAAGCTTACTTTACTTATGCCCTGTGTCTTATTGAGTAAAGTCGAAAAATACTTACTATTAAGCAAAGTATTTAACAATGATTGGAAATCATAACAAAAAACAAAATAAATATACAAATAGTACTCAAATTCAAACTTCTCAATTCTATTCTAAACATATACAGAATATGCAAGTTCTGTATATGTTTAGAATAGAATTGAGAAGTTTGAATACTATAAAAAGCTATATATTGCAATCTTATAAATTCAATAGGGTTTAAAGCTGGGAATACCTGGTGTGTATCCTAAATTTAGGTTAGAGAGTAACTTGGTCTAACGTTTTATTGATCAAAAAACTACATTTAATCAAGGGTAAATAGTTGACGTATAATAAGAGTTAATTTAAATGCTAATTTTGAGGTAGAGAAACTGTATTTAGTAATTTGTGTGTATATATATATATATATATATATATATATATATATATATATATATATATATATATATATATATATATATATATATATATATATATATATATATATATATATATGTATGTATATATATATATATATATATATATATATACATATATATATATATATATATATATATATATATATATATATATATATACATATATATATATATATATATATATATATATATATATATATATATATATATATATATATATATATATATATATATATATAAGCGATTTAATAACAAATCAAAATACTAACAAAAGTTTGAGATTTTTAATCGTCCTAAACTATCTAAAGAACGTTCAAACAGTTTCTTTTATTAAACTTGTTTTTAAAAAAACAGCTTTTTTCTAGACATGGGCATTTCTTTATTTAGGGGACTTTGTTTTACAATCATAAACAAACAAATATAAAAGTATAAACAAGAACCACAGTTATTAAACAGTTAAATTTAAAAAAAAAAATTGACTATTAATTTCAAAATAGTTTTTGCAAGATTATGCTCAATAAAAAAAATTAGAAGATTGGTGAGTTGGTCTAGACTATAGCGTCTAGACTTCTTTATTGATCTCAGTTATACCAAGCTTACTGAAAGACCGCTAACTTTTGGCAGTGGAGACAAAAACTTTGTTGAAAATGCGTGACAAATTGCATACTGAAGTTAAAGAGAGACTGACCTTTCTGGTAGATTCCATTCAATAACTTCAAAGTTTAAAAGACTTAAAGTTTTCTTTATAACAGATAAATAAGAGTGGCGTTAAGTTCAGCTTAAAATATTTTTCTTCGTAAAATTGAATTTTGCTCCTGGCTTCTTCTTAAAATACTTTCCTCTTCCTTATCTTCTTTGAACAAAATCTGATGTAAAACTATAACATGCGGGAGACCGGAGGCAATCAAATGTGCCATATTACTGTAATTGGGTTAAAAAGATTGCATTATGATGAAAAACTCAGTAAGAGTCTTTGTGACAAAGTTTATTGCTTGAACAGCTTTGAACCAGAGAGTAGTCAAACTGATAAATTCAAATCAATTACTAGAGATTTTTACTTTATTCAGTTAATCAGCAGTTAGATTAAGATCACAAATCTTCTGCATAAATACAAAGATTTCCATGGTATTCCCCAACCAACAGCTTCACAGACTTAATTTGTGTACCTTGTCAGGTTTATGAAGTCTATTGAAAGGAAAAAGCAGTCGTCTTGGTCAAAATTTTTTATTAAACAAAGCTTTCACTAAAATGATTATAAAGCGACTGAACCCCCGGCTAAAACAGTTCTTTACAAACACTGAAGAATTAGTAGACAGAATGAACTTCTGTAAGATTATGAGCACAATACCATCAAAAAGATATATAACTAAAGCATTTGTACCATAATGCATAACATTCACCTTTAAATAACTTGTTGACACTGATATCATCAACTAAGTATTTATATCATGAATTAAATAAACTAGTTAAGTACGAATAAATGAGGCACCATGTTAAATGAGGCACCATGTTACATGGGGTATAAAACATTGTAATTGTGGAGGAATCTTAAGAGTTGTGACAACCACTTTCATATAGTGAAACAGTTACTTCTAGAGCTATGATTTGAAAAATAATTATACCATTTGACATCATTAGCCTGTGAGCGGTCGAAAGTTGTGTTTTTTTTTGATGAGAAGTAATTTATTGGTTGTTAAAGTTGATAAGTTTTGTAGTATCTTATTCAATGTGTCTACCGTAAGCAAAATTATTTTGTGAACTGCAATCCATAAGTTCTTTACTTCCTTTAACAAAATTATTGAAAAAACAAGTTGGTTGTTCAAATAAAGCGGTTATTTTCTATTAGCAAGTATGGGGTAACTTGATTCAGCATTTTTTTGGGGCTCCAAAACTGTAGAATAGTTCTCCGTTGTGTCGTAAACAATTCTAAAAATTATTTTTTTAAATATATTTATAGTCAATTTTTAAGAGATTTATATTTTATTTATTATTTATTGACGCTTAAGAATGACATTTAAAACGTTATGTTTTAAAAAATTATATTTTCATATTCGTTTTTATTACAAAGGAAATTTTAAAACAAACTTTTTATTTTAAAATGGTGAACAACAATTTTGAAACTATTACTATAAAGAAAAACCAAAACTCAAGATACCAATCTTTTATTTCTTTACTGTAATAAAAAGGAACTTTGATAATATTTTAAAAAATGTATACAAGTAGCTAGTTACAATTAATCTATAATTTACTATAATTTATAATAATAAAAAAGTAAGTTAAAAGCAAACTTATAAGTATAGTAAAACATTACATTATTTAAAATACCATAGTATATACCATATTTTAAAATAATATGTTAGCAATAGCTTGCATAGCAAAGGCATATATTTTTTTTCTTCAAAAAATTCCAAATTCGAATTCCAAAGAACTAATGTTCGAGGAAAAAAACAAGACAAATAAGATTTTTTGGAGCCATTAGGAACAGTCAAAATAAATGGATGAGACTTAATTGAATGACGAGTAACACATTGACGAGTAATGGATTCTAGTAGATAGCACAAAAGACGCTAGCTTTTTAGAGCAGTACCCATTAAAGTATTAATAGAAAAGAGAAAGAGAAGCAACATTACAACAATTGGATAATGGTTGGAGGTTGGCTGCAAGAGCAGATCCAACTATGTTTGCAATGCATTATTGCACCTTGTCTAATAGTGAAAGGGCATCATTGTTAGATCCGCCTCAGATATGGCAACAGTATTCCATACAAGGAATGACTTGAGAGATAAAGAATAGAATTCTGATATAGAAAGTGTCAAGCAAGATAATGAGATGCAACCTTAGCAGATGCTAATTTTGCTATTGCTCTGATGTGTGGTTTCCAAGTAAGATCGGGAGTAGAAGATGAAAGATAAATAACTCATCAAGTAGATTACTGTTTATAAATATAGGAAGATCTAGGTTATTGCGATAACGATTCACTGAAAGAAATTGAGTTTTACCTGAGTCAAATTTCACCAGCCGCTGAGAGCACCATGTTAAAGCAGAAGAGAGATCTTTTTCAAGCCCAAATGCCCCCTCTAAGCAATCAGAGATATAAATTATCTATACATTCTCTTAACCAATCTTTAGAGAATTCATTTATATTATTCATTTTGTATTAAAAAATAGTAAACCTTAAGTTTGAGGACACTTTAAAAATCTCAATGTCATTATTTTCATATTCTAATAGTCATTAGAATATGAAAATATTTCATTTAAAAGTAAAAAAAGCAAGAATATGAAAATATTTTATTTAGAAGTTTTTGCAATTAAAAAAGATCAATCAAAAAACTTTTGTAAAAGTCTAAAACTGTAAAAAAAAAAAAATGTATTTCCAGTTTGTACACTTATGGCTTTTTACACCTTGATTGAAATAGATATGGCGTGGAATAGAACTTATTACTATACTAAAAAAGTAGTTAACTAAGAACTAGTCAAAGTTAAAATAATGTTTTCATAAAATCCGTCTATCACACCAAAAAAATGTATTGTAACTATAAAATGTATTGTTACATCAATTACTATTTATTTTATTTTTACACTGTTTTATTGTGAATTACTATTATCTATTGTTGCAATATAAACAAGTGTCATTTGATACATCTATTTCTTTTCAAATAAATCTATTTAATAGGTGATGAAGAAGAAATGCTTGGTTGTCTTAGGCTTGCTACTAATACACGCAGCTAAAACCTATGCCAAAATATTGAAAGAGAAAAGTAAATTTAATTTCTTTTAAGTTGGTTTAAAAATATTGCATAGTTAAATTTTTTTTTTTAACTTTAAAAACTTACCTTTACAGCACGAAATGAAGTAAAAAGATATGCACTTGATAATGGAGAGAAAAGTAAAATAACTTTATGATAAATATTATTACTATTTTCATTATTATAGTTATTATAAATGTTATATATATATATATATATATATATATATATATATATATATATATATATATATATATATATATATATATATATATATATATATATATATATATATATATATATATATTTAGATATAGATATTTATAGAGAGAGAGAAAGGGAGAGAGAGAGAGACAGTGAGAGAAAGAAAAAAAGACAAAGAGAGAGATATATTTCAGTAGTTCAGAGATAAATATAACATGTACAGCATTTCAATATTACAGAGATATTTACATACACGAATATCATTCTTACAGTTAATAGACATTTAGTACTACTTAAATTTTTTTTAGGGGCATGGGTATGTCACCCCGGCTGTCAAAGTTATTGTTTACCTTCCTGCAAAGCAAGTTGTTGCAAACCTGGAGCCCCAGATTACCACCCAGACATGATTCCAGGTATTTAATTTTTTTTTTTTTACATTTTAGTTCATATCTTTTAGTAATAAACATAAAAGGTTCTACTGCATGCTGCATGGTATGTTTAAACACAGTGTGCAATGAATTCTGCAGTGTGCAATGAATTCTGCAATGAAAATATAAAATGTGTGTTAAAAAATAATAAACAGCATTTGCAAAATTAGTTGTTACGTATGTTACAAGCATTAACCACGGGATTATTGCACTTTAATTTTTTTTTTTATTAAAACATTCACAACCTAATAAATTTAAAATTATGTGTAATAAGTATCGTTTCCACTTAAAGTATCGTTTCATTTTAAAGTATCGATTCATTTTTATGTGTCAATTTATTTTTAAGTATAAATTCGTTTTTAAGTAACGATTCATTTGAAAGTATCAATCCATTTTAAAGTATCGATTCATTTTAAAGTACCAATTCATTTTAAAGTAATCGTTTTGTTTTCAACTGTTTCAGTTCATTTTAAATTATTGATTCATTTTAAATTATCGATTGATTTTAAAACTGTTTAAAAGAGAATTATTTTTTGTAAAATATATTATTTCCAAAAAAAATATTATCCGCTTTTGAAAATCTTTTAGCATTTTGGGAACAGACAGAAGATACTGGGGGACAACCCATACTTTTTTCATTCATAATTTGTAAAAGATGAAAGTTTAAAGATATTTAAGGAAACAAGTATACGAAAAAGAGTTTCACACAAAACACAAGACACGGCTGACATATTACGTATAAAAAGCTAAAGAGAAGACTCTACCAGTTTTATTTAGGGGAGAGGGTGGAGCATTGGTACAGAATGAGCATTGGTAAATAGTCAAATATTCAGCCTTTTTAAATAAATTTCAACTTTTAAATGCTGATTTCAAATATTGTTTATAATCACTTCTTTCACAGAAAATATAGTTAGGTTTAAAGATTTTGTTACCTGTTGTTTATTTTGCCGCTATGTTGATTTTTTTCACATTCTTCTGAGAATGGTAAATATGCTACTTTTTTGAACGTTGATTAATGTTTTAATTAACGTAAATTTAAAATTAAACCTATATTTGCGAAAAAAAAATTAAAACATGAACAGATTTTTATTACATAAATAAATAATTCACTTTGAGGTACTCATTGGTAAAGGGTGAGGATTGGTAGATTGAAATCGGGAAGCATATATGCTTATAAGTACGGAATTTTAAATATATATGTTTTGTAAATTACATATATACTTGTTTCACTACGGTAATATTTTGCTATATTACACATTGCAAATATATAGGTTGTTAATTTATTTAAAGTCGTTCTTGTTATGTTTATATAACATTTTATTGGATTTAAAATTTTAGTTTTCTTTTTCCTTGAATTTACAAATATTTGGTATGAAATTTCTTTTTTACATTAATTTTAATATGCGATGTACTATCGCTACCCTTGCTGTGTACCAATGCTCCCCATGTAAGGGAACATTGGTACAAAAAACTACGTTTTGAAAGTTTAAAAATTGTGCCTAACCATTAATTTTTGTAAACATAAATTATATTTATATGTTGCCAACACTTAAGAAAAATAGCAAAAAGTATTAGTTTTCGTTTTTTTTAGCTACGGGTGGGGACGAAATAAATGGCAACATAGTCATAGATTGCTTTGAAAACTTAAAGTGTATTCTTTATAAAGTCTTTAGGGCATCTATACAGCAAGGTGTATTCCCCGACCAATTAAAAATAGCTAAAGTAACTCCTATATACAAAAACGGAAAAAAATCAAATATTAGTAATTATCGCCCTATCTCAGTTCTTTCAACTTTCTCAAAAATTTTAGAAAGAATTATATACAATAGAACATACAATTACCTTAATCTAAATAAACTTCTATATAAAAATCAATTCGGTTTTAAAAAAAATTGTTCAACTGAACAAGCCATTACACAGTTCATTCGTGAAATCTCCGATTCATTTGGTAGATCACAATATACATTAGGTATTTTCATTGACCTATCAAAAGCATTCGACACGGTCGATCACAAAATTCTGCTTAAAAAACTCAAATTTTACGGAATTAATGGCAAATTAATAAAATGGTATCAAAGTTACTTGGAAAATAGAAAACAATTTGTTTTCTATGGAGATTATTTTAAAAATGAAAAATTAATTGACATAAAATGTGGTGTTTCACAGGGTTCTATTCTAGGCCCACTTTTGTTTTTAGTTTATATAAATGATTTAAATAAAGCTTCTAACCTTATGAGTATAAATTTTGCGGACGATACTAATTTATTTCTGTCAAACAGTAGCATTTATGAGCTTTTTTCAAATATGAATAATGAACTCAATCAGATCTCCAACTGGTTTAAGTGCAACAAGTTAACTTTAAACATTGACAAAACAAAGTGGATCCTTTTCCACTCTCTTGCTAAAAAGCGTATTTTACCAAATAAATTGCCTAAACTTTTTATTGATAAAATTGAAATAAAAAAGGAGTCGGTCACAAGATTTTTAGGCATTTACATTGATGAAAATATTACATGGAAGTATCATATCGACTATATTTCTACTAAATTGGCTAAAAGTATTGGAATTCTATATAAGGTCAGATACTATCTAATTAAACAAAATTTAATTCAACTCTACTACTCGTTTATTCATAGCTATATAAATTATGCAAATATTGTTTGGGGAAGTACCTCTAAAAGTAAGTTGCGAAGTCTTTACCATCGTCAGAAACACGCAATGCGTTTAATATGTTTCGAAAATCGTTTTTCTCATTCAAATATTTTATTTAAAAACGTTAAAGCACTTAACGTTTACGAACTCAATGTCTATAATATTTTATGTTTTATGTTTCGTTGTAAAAGTGAACGACCATTTCAAAGATCTTTTTACTTATAAAGCTATAAACAAATATGCTTTACGAAATAATAATTTATTAATTGAACCCTTTTGTCAAACAAAGTTTAATCAATTTTGCATAAACTATAGAGCACCGTATTTATGGAACAAAATTGTTGTTCCAAATTTTGATTTGTCAATTTCGTTTTCCGTTTTTAAAACTAAATTAAAAAACTATATTCTTTCTACTGGCAATATATATAAATATTTTTGAAATGTAAAATTCTTTTTTTTTACTCTGGATAATTTGTAAAATTATTTTCAGTTTTTGTTTCTTCTACATTGTTATTAGTTATTTGATCAATTATATTTTATTTTATTATATATACACGTATTATATCTTTTATATGGTTCTGGCGACAAGATCATTTGGATCTTCTTTCAGATACCAAGTTTATATATTGTTATATTGTTATATTACGATTAATAATTGTAAACTGAAAAAAAAAAAAAAAAATTAATTTTTTCTTTTTTTCTTTTCAAGTTCTTGTCAAGACGTACCAATGCTCCCCCTCTCCCCTAGTATATTCTTATAGCATGTTCGCTAAAAACTGTTCTTTAGCTTAGTGTGATTAATAATTGCTTACGTAAAACTGTCATAACGTGAGGTTAGAATTATCTTGTTTCATCTCCACATTTTTGAGTTTTGAGATAAAATGATTTAAAAAATAATTACTTTAGGAGACGGCTTGAAAAAACATTTTTATAACTTTATATAAAAATCTTCGCAACTTTTTTGATTATAAGTTAGATTTCATTACAGTAGAAAAACATTTTGAGGTACATGACACAATCAATAACTCAAACTTTTCAAAAAATGGAGATAGATAAATCTAACCTTGTAATGAGTTTAGTAACTATGAATAAAATTAAAATAAACTTTTCAGGTGAAATTCTAAAATTGGCTTAACTTTATATATTATGCAAAAAATAAACTTCCATCATAATTGACTTAAAAATATATATTTTAGTTTTTACTTTATTAGTGTTTTTTTATTGCGTTTTAGTAATCATAATTTGTTTTTAATAGCATATCTATTAATCTTATCTATAAATAAGCAGAACTTTTTTTATGTACATATGATTTTGGTCATATGTGCATAAAAATGTCCTTTTTACTGCCATATGCTGACAAAATGTTCGGATTTATTTCAACTTTTCAAATTATAAAGTTTTTAAGTAGAGTTTTTACCGTTAACAGTCCATGATGGCTTTTTTTTATTACTATTTAATTTTTTTTCCTCAGAATTGGGCTAGCTTTATGCAATCATTTGATGATATAAACTCATTTTGAACTTTATCATAAACATTATCATTTTGAACTTTTATAACACGACACGCCATATCTGATTTGTTTTATAGATTGTTTCTAGGAGAAGTTGTTGCTGAGGAGAACTTATTTGTTTCTAAGAAAAGTTCTAAGAAGAACTTATGCAAAAAATTGCCATAGTTCTAGAAAGAACATTTTATTATTCCAGACCTGGAAAAATAAAATGTTCTTTTTAGAACTATGTCAGCAAATGATAGCAAAGTCATTTTCTTTTGACAAATCGTTTTTTCGTTAAAACTAAATCAAGAACCCACAAATAAACCTATTTAAACTTCATTAATCTGTAAAAAAAACGTATATATTTTTTTCTAAGAAAATCAAAAAGCAATTTTTTTGGTGGGTGTTTGGACAAAAGAAAATATTTAAGTAAACGTATCTTAAAATTAAAATCATTGTTAAGTGTTAAACTTTAAGTGTTGGTAATTTCTTGAATTTATTTTTTATAAGAATATGTTTTGAAATTGCTCGTTATTTCTAGTAGCAAATATATATAAAATATATAAATATATAAAAAATATAAATATATAAAAAAGTTATTCTACTCTAGCGATTGAATCCTATCAAAAAGAGGTTGCGGAGCAAGCGAAGAAACAGTCAATAAACCAATCACCTTTTGCATGTGGCCAGTATTGTTCTCCATCATGCGCACCAAGTTGTAATGCAGGTATTTTTTATTTTTTATTTTCATAGTAATAAAAAAATATTATGGCTATATAAAAAAAATGTTCAAAAGACGTTCATGATTACGTCCAGTGCCCATTGGGACTTTGCTATTTAGCGGTGCTCTTCAAAAATTTCAAAAAATTTGCAGTACAAAAGTTTCACGCTAGCTTCCTAAAAAATGAAATATTACAAGATCTAGCAGCAACTTGATCTTAACCTGGACCTTTTGATCTGAAGTTAGCACTCTAACTACTGCGCCACGGTTTAAAGGTAGATTTTGCGTTATTCAGTTAACAGCTGTAGTTAAGCAGTTCATATTACAATTTAAAAAAACTCTTTATATACGCGAATTCCTTTTTTTTAAAGAAATTAAATGAGCTATGTTATGTTAATATTTTTACAGTAACATATAGTGCTTTATTTTAGTTTCTTAAAGAAGAGAGGAGGAGGGGGGGGGAAGGTTAGAGCAGAAACTTTTCTTACCCCCTACCCTCATGTTTAAAACAAAACTCGTAAAGTCAAAACCTAAAGAACTAAGAGGTTTACTCTCCTAAAATCTTTGATCAGCACTATTTAATTTGACTTTTTAAAGGGGTAATAAAAATTAGTAAAATTGTTGTCAATTTTTTTTTAAAAGACTAAAAATTATTTTTTGATTATTTATTTAATATTGCACTTATGAGTTATTTTAGTTGACATCAAGTTGACAAAAGTTGACATTAAGTCAAAACCTTTTGGTTTTGACTTGATGTGTTTTGCTTTAAAAATTTATCATTTATTTATCGCTTATCATAGTCAACTTTTATGCTCAAAAATGAAAAATAGTTTATTTTTCTATTTTTTATTTAATCATTTCTCCCTTTGTTGATATCATTGAGTACAGCTTATGGTTTTGCGGAGATAAGAGTGACAAGTGACTCTGTTTAATGCTACAATTAAAAGAAGAATTTTTGAAATGAGTGAGAATATTGAGCAGCAAGCCAGGAATTCGAAAAGATTATGGAGAGTTACATACTACAACTAAAGTTGAAAATACTTTTGTACCTTAATGTTTTTGTTTTTTTTTAAACATGGGTGCAAAATTAATAAATGAGTAAAAAATGTAGGATTATACCTTTATTAAAAAAAAAAAGCCTGACTGTATATCTGCACATTTCTATCTTTGCAGATAAGTGTTAGCTGTAAACTGCATTTTTTGAAAGACTCATTTCAAATTATTGAAAGTAATAAAAAAGTAATAATTTCATTTCAAATTATTAAAATTAATAAATTTAGAAAAGTCTACGGCCACTTTCTGTAGAATTTTTTCAAAAATCTGCAAAGAAAGGCTGAACATAAAAAAACTTCTGTTTGTATCAGCTTGTGTTGATCGTCAAAAGGAAATTCCCATGTGTTTTTGAAAGAATTTTTGTTATAAAAGAAAAGAAATTTAGTTGAACGACTGAAGTCTGATTGCTTTGTTGTACAACTTTGTTGCTTACTTTTTACTACAAAATTTATATATTTTCAATAAAAAATAATGATTTAATGAAGACTGACTAACAAAAGTCGAATTTAAAATCTTTAAATTTATTATTTATTTAATTAATAATTATAATTATTAATTAAATCTCATATTACTCTCCTAAAATCTTCGATCGAAGATTTTAGGAAAGTAATATTACATTTAATTAATAATTATAATTAATTTTAATTAATCAGAGGAAAATTTTCAACTTTAAGACATTGGATGTTTATTTAAATAACATCAATAAAAAAGTTTCAGAAATAACGAGCCACTGTTGTGTACTCTTGCAATTTGCTGAAAATTAGAAATTCTAATGAATTTGGAGTCAGATATGACAACAAAAGGTTCCTATGTTTCGGATTGTGTCACAAAAAAACCTTCCAGTTTCGAGCAAAGCAATTCTCATGTCATTTCTAACATCCTGAGGATGTGTAGTTGATTTTGCCAAATTAGTACCATTTTAGTATCATTGCCAAGTGATGCTAAAATGCCAAATTTTCGTACCATTGCCAAATTAGTATCATTTTAGTATAATTGCCAAATTAGTATATTTTCCGTGTGACTTAAGAGCTTGCTTCTTGCACACAAGGTCTTTAATGTCTGACTAAGTTGTATACAACTTTGTCAGACATTAAAGACCTTGTGTACAAGATGCAACCTCATACGTTACATTATTTGTTTTCAATTTAAATTAAAAAAGGTCTTTTTAATAAATTAAAAATGGTTTATTTAAGGTACAAACTACCCTCTTTTTCTTACTAAATTTAGTATTAGGACTTTGTTTAATTTTATTTTTAAATTTATTGACTAAATTATTATCTAATTGTTCATTTATCTAGATTTAAAAATAATTTTTATAACTATTATTAATACACAAATATTTACCCTATGGATGAAAGAGAAAACAGCAATGCCAATCGAAAAACAAGGGAAAATGTTAAAAAAGGGCACATTGAAATGCTTACCCATTTAGTTAAAAGAAATTAATCTACAACAAGCATTACGACGTTTTCTGATAAAAAAAAAACAAGGTAAAAGACTTATAAATGCTCAAATATTATTATAAAAATATTATTGAATTATGCGTACTAGAAAACAATCATTGTACGCAAGAAGCAATAGACGTCTTCACAGTTCCGATAATTTCATGCGCGCGCATATTTAATATTACGTCATGGTACTTTATGCGCAGAATCGCATGAAAACAAGTAAATACTCATATAAATTAAGATAGTAACCTTGAAAGAAACAGTTGTTTACATGAGATTTTTTTAATTTTTTTTCAAAAAAGACATTGATTTAGTTTAATATAAGTTTATTTTACCCATTTTAAGTTTAAAATCTATACTGTTTATATGTTTTTGTTTTATAATATTTGTAATCAAGGAAAAAACAAATTTGTACGTTGAGTGTAAAAGTATTTAATATTGATTAATAAAAATGAGCTTTCGGGAAAGAATATTATATATATATATATATATATATATATATATATATATAGTATATATATATATATATATATATATATATATATATATATATATACACTCACATATATATGTATATATATATTATATTTATATATATATATGTATATATATATATATATATATATATATATATATATATATATATATATATATATATATATATATATATATATATATATATATATATATATATATATATATATATATATATATATATATATATATATATTGTATATATACACACAAACACAACTATCAATGCACATTTTACACACGAAATGTGTGAAATGCAAAAGATAAAGAGTATTATTTAAGACCTTTCATTTCTTTTATATATATCCTATAAAACAAACATATAAAAAGTATAAATACATAAATAATATAAATTTAGCCTTAGAATAGTTAAAATAAAGTTAAATAATTCAAAATCGACTAAGATTTCTTTACTTTTATTATGAATAAAAGTAAAGAAATCTTATGTAAACAACTGTTTCTTTTAAGAATGGTTTCATAATATATTTGTTTATTTACTTTCTTTCATGCGATTTTGCGCACAAGGAACAATGACGAACTGTTAAATGTTCGCGCGCGCTTAATTATCGGAACTGTGAGGAGGTCTATTAAAGAAAATCTTTATGCGGCAGGCCTCAACATGTTTCCGCTTACAATTTCAAGAAAACCCAAACGCTCAGATTTATCAAGAAAGCATGTTGTGCATGTGCCAAAAGAACAAAACTCGCCGCGAGTTATTGATGCATGCTTTGCATTTGCAAGCAAAATTAACGGAACTTCAAATAAAAAATATTTATTTGGAGGAAACTGCATTTAATATGCACACCAAAAGCGCCGGTGCTTGTTATGGACAAATGTAAATTCCACTGGAGTCTTTCAGTTAGGCAAACACTAGCCTCTCTTTCAAACAATAACCTCTCATGGAATAGCTATTAAAGTATCTGCCAGCATACACGCCACTGCTTAATCCAATAGAATTTTTTTCTTCTTCTTAAAAGAATACTTACAAACAGGGAAAAAAGGCCTCGAAATACGGATGGAGTTATCAGGAAACTTAAAAATATTTTGGATACTACAGAGTTTAATTGAATTCCATTTTATTCCAAATGCGTAGTTACATAAATCCAGCGCTGGCTCGGCAACCATTTTTAAATAAATAACAGTGGCAAAAACCTAATTTATATTTTAAATATATTAATAGAAAAACATAAAAGCCTATTTATTGTTTATATATAATTATATTAGAGATTTTATGGGCAGTTCATTCGGTTATAAACGCGCATATAAGAATGAATAAACACGCATATAAAAATGAATAAATGCCAATATAAAAATGAATAGATACGCATATAAAAATGAATAGACACGCATATAAAAATGAATAGACGCGCATATAAAATGAATAACTTTGTAATCATTTTAGATATTCTTCAATTTAATACTTAATTTATTTTTGTTGTGTAATCGAAACAAAAGTACAACAAAATGGAAAATTAATTTAATAGAAAACTATATTTTCAAAAAATATATAAATATTCAATACATGAACATGTTATTCTTTAAAGTACTTTTTAAAAATTCAGATTGTTGCAGGGGAATATATTCTTCAGCACCACCTCCTCCTCCACCTCAATATCAAAATCATGTCATTGGACCCTTTGAAGCAATAATACAAATGCCATGTGGCGATAGTTGTGCAGCACAATGTGCCCCATTATGCAGTCATGGTAATTTAAAACTATAAACTAAACTAAACATTATTATTAATAATATTATTGATGTAAATATATACAAAAAGAAAAAAATATCTTTCATTCATTTGCAAGAAAATCAAAATAAATACGTTTAATATACTTTTCTGATTTTCTTGAGCGAACAAACTTTTCTTTAAAAGATTGCTTTTGTATATATTTAACTTTTTTACAATATTGCATCTTTTATACGAAGTAATAATATTTGATATACATTAAAATATATTTTATATCAAAAACTTTGTTTATGCTGGTTTAGTATGTAACACTATTGCATTATTTTTAATAATATTTTTAATCGGTTTTCAAATAAAATTTAATAAACAACTCTTCAAATGCATATAAAAACTATTTTTTTTTTGTAGCATGCTGTTTTGGTGGAACAGTGCAAATTGATCCTTCACAATATATTGAAATGATGGCAAATCAAATGCAGCAGCAAACTCAAAGCTCTCAAACTCCACCACCACCACCACCTCCTCCTCCTCCACCTCCACCACCCCCACCACCACCTCCTCCTCCTCCTCCAAAACCCCCAAAAACACAACATGTACTTAAAAAAGTACAAAATCTCAAACCAAAACTAACTTTAAAATGCGATCCAAGTTGCGAAAAGCTTTGTCTGCCATCATGCGATTTTATGTGCTGCATACCAAAATACCTACGAAATACTAAATTTGCTCACTTAAAAGAAGGTTAGTTGTTGTTTTTAATTAATTAATAATAAAACTTTTGTTTTATTTTTAATATATAAGTTTTAATATATCATAAACGTGTAAATACCTAGTAATTTATAATATTTATCTGTTAGGATACACTAAACCAAGCGCGTCGTCAGCTTCAACAGGCCAAAGTTTACCAGCAACCTGCAGCGGTCAATGCAGTCATTCGTGTTATCCATCTTGTACCAAAGAATGTTGCTTTTCTAAAAATAGTCAGCAAAGTTTATCACTTTCACAACCAGTGCAAAGTGTTTTACAACAATCTTTTTATAATACAATGTCACAATTACCAACATCTTGCTCACTTGGTTGTTCAAACGCTTGCGCCCCGTCATGCACTCCTCAATGTTGTTTTCCTAGTGTGGTAAAACCACCTAAAATGATTCATATTAACGTGCCTCCCATTCACATCACACTACCAAATAATTGCGTTAATTTTCCTGGTTGCCAGCAGTCTTGTCTGCCGAATTGCTTACCTGCTTGTTGCGCTGGACCAAATATTATTTCTTCTCAACAAATACAATATCCAATTCCACCACCAACTTATCCTGCTTCATCTTGCCCAATTCAATGTTCTCAACAATGCACTCCTTATTGCCCTAGTTTTTGTTGTAAACCATTGCCGCAGTTTTATTCTCAATCACAGCCTTCTCTGCCTTTTGCTCCACTTCCTCAAATCCAACCACCTTTACCTCCTCCACCACCTCCACCACCTCCACCACCTCCACCTCCACCACCTCCACCACCTCCTCCACCTCCTCCACCTCCACCACCACCTCCACTATTACCACCACCACCTCCTCCATCTATATCTTCATTTTTAGTACCTCCTCAAAGTTGTCCAATTCCTTGTTCTCCTCAATGTGCGCCAAGTTGTAGTGAAAATTGTTGTAGCTCGCTTATACCTTCACCGCCTGTATTAAGAATGATTGATACACCCGCATTCTCAGCTACAACTACTTCACCTTTTGAATGCAGTCCAAGTTGCAATAGTATATGTGGACCATCATGCAGTCCATCATGTTGTAGGGCAGAGTCTACGCCGTATGTCCCACCACCAATGCAAGTAATTGATATGCCTGTAATGCACTTTACTATGCCAGATTTTGATAATCTTCAAACCGAAAATGCATTATCTACTCCTTCACCTGTTCCTCAATATCCTAATGTAATGCCTGCTTCAGGATGCCCAGGCGATTGTTCTGATACCTGTGCTCCAAACTGCAATCAAGAATGTTGTTCTTCTAAGCCCATTGTAACAACAACATCAATGGTAACACCTTTTTTGGGGGAAATAAAATGTCCTCCCCCTTGTCCAGCTAGTTGTGCAAACTCTTGTACCGCAGCATGTTGTTCATCTCCTACCCCATTTGTTGGAGAAAAAACCGAAGTTTATGACAAAACATGCCCTGGTGAGTGCTCAGCTTATTGTGCTCCAGCATGTACTCAAGATTGCTGCGAATCCACATCAGAAATGAATTCAGTTGAAAAAGAAATAGATAAAAATGAGGATTCGTGCGAAGAATCGAATTGCAGCCAGCAAAAAAAAGAAGGTGTAGGGAGCTGGGATAAAAAATCAAAATCTGTAAAACCTGTTTTGGATGATAAACGGAGCACTATTCCAAGAGCATACTAAAATTTTAAGGAGATCCTTTTATCGAGAGTAATTGCTCCATAGTACGGACTGAATATATGAACAGAATTCTTTTTTCTAAGATATATTTAAGTTCAAAGCATAAAAACAAACTTAAACATAAAGATAAAATCTTTATTTTCTGTTTAACTATGGTCAGTTGGTCCATTCGTAAATAATTTGAAGGTTATGCGCATGAGCAAAGAAACTGTTTCTATCAAAAACTAGACAAAACAAATAGTTAAAACAATAAATTGCTAAAATTGACAAAAGATTATATAACTTTTCTTATTATTATGGTTGTAAAACATGTTTGTATGAAATGTTTATGTATATATCCTCAAAGTAATTTCATAATCGCATACGTCAGTTTTGGAGTATTTGAAAGGAGAACTGAAAGATACGGTTTACCTGATCTTCTATTTTTGCACAAGCATGAAATTCAATATAAGCAACAACCTTGTTATCATGGTTACTTATAAAAAGCCACATACGTTCAGCTATTCGAAATTCTAAATAACAGTGGTAAAAAAACGTTTAAAATATTAAAATATTTTTTTAAGAATTCTCTTTCTCTCTCTCTATATATATATATATATAAAAAATATGCGATTGTGAAATAACTATGACGATTTGCATATTTTCTAGCATATAGTATTTTTATTTATTTAGTTTAAAAATGTAGAACTAGCTATGTAACCTACGTTGTAAATAATTTAATCTTTATTTTCAAATCATTAAATATATTTTGAACAATAGACAACGCTATAATTAATAACAATTATCACCTTTTATTAAAACCTAATATAAACTCTTTTTCATTTGAAATCAATTGACATTAAAAAGTTCATTATCTTTCAATGTCTTACCATCTACTTGGTTAGATTATACTATAAAAAATATCTTTCGGTTGGGTATACTACTTGAAATAAGACTTTTGTATTACAGCCAACTTGATTAGCTATTCATGTTGTTAATTGATTTTATCCAAACAATCAATGAGTGCTTTTTTAAAAAATGAATTCTTAATGATTGATAAAATACTTTTACTGTTTTAACGAGATTTAAACTACGTCTATTTTCTGCTTGAATTGGTCATATTTATCTGATTTCAAATCTTTATACTTTTTTGTCAATATTGAAGTTTTACACAAACCGAGCACTCCTGGTACAAGTAACAAAAAGCTTGAAAAAATTGTACCAATGCCAAAATATAAAAACCCATTCCAGCAGCATTCAGTGTATTTTAGGGCTAAGAAAATAAGTCCAATAAACGCTAAAGTAATTGCAAAAACCAACCATAGCAAAAACTGATTTTTCCACTCTGTAATGTTAAACCGATTTTTATTAATTTCTTTACCATCAACATAAAGTCCTTCATTTATAAAGAGCGAAGGAATCTCTAACCGAAAATAATGCCCAAGTTCATACCACTCGTAAGCACCTCCTACGCAGCATAAAGGGAAACAAACGTTATCGTAAATTTCAGTATTTCGTACCCTTCCGTTTATTATTAAAGTGTGTATACCATTATTAAAACAATAGCAAGTTAGTTGATCTGTGTCTTCAACATTTACATGGTATGGTCTCAATTCTATGATTCCTTCATCTGAAATAACTTCTAAATGCATTTTCCAATCTTTTTTCCATTTACAACACATATCTCTATTTAAAAATTTTTTTTTCTAAAAAAATATTTCTATTCGAATAAATTTATTTAACAATTCAATATTTCATGCAATAAGTCTATCAAAGATTTATTATGTACAACAATCAATATTTTATGTAATAAGTCGATGAAAGATTTATTACATGCACCGTTTAGAACTTTGCATTGCATGTAAATAAACTAAAATACAACCATGTAACATAAAATAGAAAAACAATTTCTGGATTGTCTTAAAACAAAATTTATTTCAATACAAGCTTTTATTAGTGGAAGAATAGCATAATAAAAGAGTATATCAAAAACTTAGTCCGTAAAAACAACTGTACTTTTTTCAAAGGCATAATAAATAACCCATAGTTGACTAAACAGGGGAACGCTGGCAATCAGGGCGGGTTAACTCAGTCAATTTCATTCACCGACTCGTAGCGCTTTAGGAGATTAAGCTTTGGTAAGTGCCGTATTTAAAGCACGTGCCTTAAGAACCATTGTAGTATATAGTGTCGCACAGTATCTATTTGTGTGATTTAAAACTTTTATTTTATTTTAATGAAAGCATGTTAATCATAGCAAATGAGCACGTGAGTCACTTAGGGAAACGTTCCCAGTGCACTTAATTAATTTATATTATACAACATTAGTGACGAAAATATGTTTCTATTAAGATAATTTAAAAAGTTGTAGTTAAAAGAGTTTTTAATTACATCCTTTTGTCGGGTATTGTACTACATAGGTAGCGTAAACATATTACTCATATATATTTTACTTAAATTTTCATCAATACTAAATTATTAATTAACACTCGGGATGTACCGGAATTCCTGCCGGAACTTGTTACTATTTTTTTAAATATGTAACACAGACTGTGCAAATTAAATCAATAAATCATTGTCCTACAGGGCAATAAAGAACTATAGGTAAACCTAGATAAAAAATACAAGTTTCTAAACACAACTTAAATTTGCAACATAAAACACAAATTTAATTTGCAATAATCAATTATGTAAGGATTTCTGGAGTTTAGGAATATTGTGGTGCAAAAAGAGTTACCTTCCAATTTTGGACAACAAGCTATCTATTTTTTCATCAAAAATATTACCTGGTTCTAAGAATAGTCTCATTTAAAATGTTACTTAAATTTTAAATAGTTAAAAAATATAGGATGTCTTCTACAGTAAATATTTTAACTTTAACCTAAACGAAAAAATAGAAAATAAAAAAAATAATTTAAGTATAAACATTATACAGGTTAAAACTTTCAATGCATAAAATTAGAAAAAATAAATAAAATAAAAACAACATATTATATTTAAAAAAGAATCAAATTAATTATAAGTTATAAATATATATTATATAACCACGATGCTGAGGTGCAGGCTTTCACTTTAATGTTGAAGATAAAAAAATAAAATACACTTCTTGTTCCGGCCGTAATACCGGCCAGAATTTTATTCACAATTTAGGTAAATCCGGTTCCGGACAGAATTTTAAATTTCCATTCCGGTACACCCCTAATTAACTCATAATAGTTTACGTAAGTAAAAATAAGTATGATGCGAGTTAGTAATAGCTAAAAGTAAATATTTTATGTTTAATATTTATAAAAGTAAACTATTGTAAATAAAAATATTCAGACCTGTACACGGCGCACCCCAAATTTGGAAAGAACTGTGAACTCTCGGAGACAGAATTTCCAAGTTTGCAGTTTTATCATTGGCTAATTTAAGACAACTAATTTTTCATATAAAAGTTTATAAGTCATGCTTTCAAAGTTTATTTTCTTAATACTTTAGAAAAGAAGAAATTCATTTACCCGAATTCATCATAAGCATTATAGAAAGATAAAATTAAAAACTTTTTGCAGCAAAGGAAGTTAACGGTACTCCAAAAACTTTGTGAAGTGTTCAACAAATGGTTCTTTAAAGATATAGGAACTGTGTCGAGATATTATGAAACTTCTACTTTGTTAAGAATAAGTTTTATAACTAATATTTAGTTGAATCATAAAGCTAAATTGTTTTGGTATATCGTGAAATGATTAAAGTATATTTTTGGGTTACATATAGTAGTTCAATATGGTTTATAAGTGATAAAGTTTTGTACTGGTAATAATATTAACTTCAAAGTAAAAATGTTAATGAAAAACCAGAGCCAACAATACCAAAAAAAGTGGAGAAAGGAAAGGGGGCAGAGGGGCCTTAACCACCAGCATCACTTTGTATTGTACTCACTTATTTATATTTTTTTATTTCCAAAAAATATTTCTAGATATAGAGTGTTTTTTTTTTATAATACGCCATATTAATAATAGGTATTTTTTTAATTTATTAGATATATAGTATTGCATTAAAAGAATGTATTCCTTATAAGTAATAACTTATAAGGAATACATTACATTTTTTTTATGCAATACTGTATATTGATTTCTATTATATAGATATTGAGTTAACTTAATATTAATATAATAGAATAGAAATAGAAACGTTATGTAAGGGATAAGATAAAAGTTAGAAATATAAGATAATATTAATAAGAATAATAAAAAACATTAGATAACATAAAATAAAAGTTAAAAATGTAAGGAATTAGAATATAAGCTATATATTACTGTGACGGATCCAGTGAATAATATTACTGTGACGGATCCAGAATTTTTTGGTGTTTGAAATAATTTCCAAATATGGAGCTAACTCCAAACATTTTTAGTTTTTAATTATGTCAAATAATGATGCTTTGCGAAAAATTGCAATGATTGGAGGCTGGGAACAAAAAAGCTCTTTGACTTCATCCACCCCACCCGAATCGTGAGGAACAATAAGTTGATAAAATATTTTTCTGTACTTTTCTCAACTAGACTTATATTCATCAATAAATTTTAAGTTTCATAGTATAATCTCTAAGCGTTCAAAAATTATGACCATATAAAGTTTGTGACTCAAACTGAAGGGGGTTTAAAATAAAAGTCGTCTAAATAACTTTTTTAAAATGTCGTTTTCTTCTATAAAATTGTACTTTAAATGTGTCAAATGTGTTTTGTTCATTTAAATAATGCCCATAAAATGAAGAAAAATTATTTTGATTATTTCTGGACACTTTACACTTGTAAAGTGTCCAGAATAAGAAGGAATCAGGGAAAATTCAAAGGCTCCAATTAATCTGAGGATGCCAAGGGGCTCTTGATGTATTAATGTAGGATGTATGTCATCACCTAGATTCTAGCGGTCATGACCACTCTGGAAGACCAAATATGCTTAGTTTCAAATTCTCTGACTGCAATTACTTATATTTAGACATACAAAATGTCCAATCTAATTGAAAAACATTGGGACATCTTAGGACCATCCTTGACCACTACTAAAATGACCATTTGAGCGTTTATGACCACTTCTAAAGATCAAATATGCCTAGATTTGAATTCCCTGACAGCAGTTACCTATATTTAGATGTACAAAATGTCCCATCTAATTAAAAACCATCAAAAAACCCCATGATCATCCTAAACAACCTCTAAAAGAACCACTTGTGTTGTTATGACGACTCCAAAATTAAGATAAAGTCCAAAAATGAAATCCTTGGCCCCAAAAGCCTCTTTAAACATCTATCATTTGTTTAAATTTAACTCATAAATAGTTTTGCCATTTTTAGACAATTCTGACCCACTGTGCATTGTATTCCTTGGCTAAATTGAAATAGTGAAATTGGAAAAAATACTACAGAGAATCATACCTTAATGCATCACATGTATCAAAAACAAGAAATGTGCATCACGTAAATTTTAAATTCTATTATATCATTTTTAGGAACGATGAGTTTGATTTTGTGATATTCAAGCAATTACTAAACATCATTATTCAGAAAATTTGGAGTTAAACGCTCTAAGCAAAAAAAATAATTTTGTAGGTAACTGCTGCTGCTCTTCATATTTTGATGAAATAAAGACTATCAAGACTACGTAAATCGAAATAAAAGATATGAGAAATCTTTTAATGAATATAGAAAATATTGTGAACAGGTTTATCTCTAATTTAGATTTTGTCAATAACCCTCTGGTTTGAAATGGTTATATTAGCTTTTGTGCAATCAATAAGAACTAAAGATTTTGATTTGTATGGGCAGTGCATTTAACAACTGCTGCCTTTATTGTTTTTTACACTGGACCATATGTATTACTTGCACTGGCTATCCGTATATTTTGCAGATTTGATTAGAAAAATCCAGAATTTGCAACTACTTCTTTTTTTAATTCGGTCAGACCATGCACGTAAGCAAAATAACATGCACCGTGTACGTGAGCAAAATTACAAATGCATTGAAAGAGGAGGATTTTTTTATTACAATAACAATAAAATGGCCAATTATATAAAAAAATTTGAAACTGATTTAAGTTGTTTTGATAATAATTTTTTCTTATTTATTAGTGAAACACCGATGCATTTAAAATAAAAAAATTTAAACTTTATTAAGGTGCAATCGGATTGACGGAATATTCCTAAGAACTACTCTACTGGATGATTTGTGGACTTCAGATTGCTTAAGCGTGAATGAATTTGAATCAAGTTTATGATACGCAGAAAATGATGAAAGTGATTTCGTGGAAACAAGTTTCAAACATGATGAGCAAAATAAAAGTCATCATAATCACAAGTTACGAATTTAGTTGATATAATTTCAAACATGGATAATTCATTTAAAGAAGAAAGCCTAGATCACTGGTGCTTGATACTCCTGATATCAAAGACAAAGAAGTAGTAAATACTGTTACCTCAATTGAGAATTTCAGAAAAAAAATATTCAACCATTTTTTCCAATCTTCTATCTTCAATCCAATAAAACGATATAAGCTACCACTTTTTAGTTACGTCAATAGAAAAAGAAAGTTAAAAGATCATTCGCAAATATCTGTGCTCAAGAAGAACTGCCAATTGTTTTCGCTACTGTAAATTTCCTTCCAGATCCGAGATCGCAGCCTTAACGAGTTTTTTGCTCATGAAAACCACAC